ATAGTAAAAAACAAAAAAATACCCCACAAATTCAAAGCAGACGTTCAACAAGGAGACATGCTGCTGCCATCTTGCAGCAGGTGCAGAAAGTGCGACTGCTGTGAGCACAATAGAGCAACAGGAGCACAAAGTCTTTGATTTTATTTATTTTCTGCTGTGTTTCACTTGCATCTATTTGTGAGTGTAAACACAAATATATTTTATTTTATGTGCTGGAATGTGCAGAAAATAGGTTTAAATGTTAAACTAATTTCTTCAAGTCAGAGACATAGAATTTATTTTTGCTTGATGCATAAAGTTACTCTGACTGCTGGGATATTTTGTCAGTGGCTGGGATAGTGGGAGTTTCTGAAAAAGCTTGAAGGTTAAAATCAAACAGGCTCGGTCTCCTCAAACCAAAACTACAGTCAGTTTTGTTCCTGTAGGAATCACAGGATCGGACTGGAGAAGTTGACTGCAACTTAAAATTCTGGCTATTCAACCTGCAGCAGATCGAGGTCTGGATGCAAGTTGAGCTTTTCTCTCAAAGAGCCTGACTTTGAAGTTTATAATGTGAAACAGTTTCTTTGAAAGTGTCCTTTCTCCATTTAGTGTTGATGGAAGCTGTGTTTTTGTGGCCTGTATCTGTGTCTGGTCTCCTGTGAGTCATTCCTATCCAAGCACAGCGTCCTCAGTGACTCACAGGACAGGACGACGGGGCAACCACTCGCAAACATGCCCTTGAAGATTCTTCTCCAAGCGTAACATCCTCATTGACACACAGTATCGCCGGGTCAAACTCCCAAACATGTCCTAACCTGTCCAGGTGTTGAGCTATAACCAGGTTTTACAAATGAATCAGGTTTCAATTTGTAGGTTGTGTGTGTATAAAACTATAATATGAAACAAAAAGCTTAAATCAATCAATTATTGTTCCTCATGCATCAACCTAAACTCTACCCAATCACAGGCATCTAGGGCGGGCCGTAGTGTCGCAGAATTTTGTAGAGGCTTTTCAAAGTAAAAGTGATCTAGAGCATCGCACGTTGATTCATGATGATTTTTTGTCTTTTGTTTTGATGAAGATGAGTGAGGTCCAGACCTGAGTGACCTCACAGCTGGTTACGGTCATATCTGACCCGTCAGAAAAGAACCGAGGTGGCAGACGGTGTTTGCAGTGAAACCCAGCAACCAATCCAGAGACGCCCTGTCGTCAAGGCGCCACTCAGCTTCACATCTGCACCTAATAGATCGAAGGTTTGAGAGAGGAGCGACGGAGGCGTCGATGTCCACCTGGAAGGAGTTCAGCTGAGGGCCTCACAGGTGATTCAACCTTCATCCTGTCATTTCATTCAATGTACCTGCGACGAATCCCCTCATCATATGGTCAAACATCTTGAATAACATAAAAAATAACTTTAGACCAGTTACAGGAGGAAACAGCAGCAGGCTTCAAACATACTGTGAATGTCGTAGAGGACCTTCAAACACCAAAAGACACTTAGGATGGGATCTGTGATTTTCTGTACGTGACGTGTTTGTTTAAAACGACCTGGCTGAGAACAGCAGGCACACCTTGACTTGAAACACAAAGAAAAACTGAGACACAGCTCAGAATCAAACAGTGGACTGATGAGAAAAATACATTTTTTAAAGGTAAGTTCTGTTTTTCAACTCAGGCTAGAACGTTTGATCAACAGCTCACTCGCAGTTCAGTAACTTTCTTTTACCAAACGGCAGTAAAGCTTCTAGACAGCTGGCCCAGCTTTCTTGCCGTTGTCAAAGACTAATTCTTTTTTATTTTAACCCATTTCCTCTACAGAGGAATGAGGAACATGCAGACACCAAATATTAGATTTGGTGATGACGCTCCTTCCACAACAGAACAGAGCCGGTATCAAATAAGAAGAAGGGGTGGGGTTGCCGAGTGGCTTTCAGATGCACAACAAAAGCTCCTGTAAATACTTCCAGATTGAGACAGTTGAGATTTGTTGCTCATGAGATTATTTCCATCCATTTCTGTGACACTGATCAAGTCAGGCAGCGGATGAAATGAGGAGCTGTGGTGGGTTGTAAAGCGGTTTGCACAGTTATTGGTGTCAGCTGAACCTGATGTGGGTGGGCTCTGAGATCATCTGATCTGCAGGTGAGCTGAACTTCCTGAACTGATACTTAAGATTAGCATCTCCTTCCTGGGACTCTTAGCAGCTCACTCAAACTGATTGTGGTCAGTGAAAGTCAGACAGCCTCTAACGGATCACTTCAGCACGCTGGACTTCCTGTGTCATGGAAACCTTTGTGGTAGTCCAGAACGGGACTCTGTGGAGCTGAAAAATGTAAATCCGGTGGATAAACTCTTTTGTTCTGGGCGAGAGAGCGTACAAAGTTCCAAACACCCGGATTTTAAATGCATTTCTGTGAGTATACAGGACGTCGCAGCACCACAAGCTGCTTTGGGGCATCCTCCATTTTTATTTTGAGCGTGACGCAAGCAGCACAACAATCAGACGTCTCTTCTACACGCAAAGTTTCTGCTGTGGTTTACCTTCTAATGTGTGGCTATCATTTGGAGCTGGACGCCACTGAGTCTGTCCTTAACCGACCAATCAGCACGCATTAGCAGGGTGGCTGTGTTTCAGGGGGAAAAACTCAGCTTTGCTTCAAGAAAAACTAGAGAACAAAAGTGTTGTTTTATTTCAGATTGGAGACTTCTTAGTTTCTGGGGCTTTATGGATATTTTTGTCTAAAACTGGCATAAATAAAACTTGTCGCATGTGCAGATCGGCTCTGGCTACATTCAGTGGAGGTGATGTGCTTCCTTCTTCCAGTGAGTCAGTAAACTTCAGATCCACAGACCCCTGTTAATGATGTGGTTGACATCAGGTTTCATCCTGTCATTTAGAGACAATAATATTATTATATAAATCACAGTGACGACAGATGCTGGTGTTCACTGAAACACTGCAGTTTCCAAACTCTGTCTGTCATCGAAGCATTTCAAAACTGAAGCGCAGGAGGAACAATACTGGTAGTTTGGGCCAGAAACTAAAAACGTAAGACTCTTGCACAGTGCTGTACCTCACAGGGTTGAGTCTTTTGTTTCTATTTTGCTTGGAAAATGTAAAATAGATGCAGCGATTTACTGAAACGTGCAAATATACATGGAAATACAGCATGTAAGGCAAAAGTCAATATTTGGTATGATCGCCTGTGTTCTTCAGCAGTCTTCAGGAATCCTTCTCAAGGCTCCCTGAAAGACATTTAAAGCTCTTCTTGTGATGTTTCTGCGTTTTGTTCTATCCTCGGTCAGCGTCCGGGCTCTGGGGAAGCCGATCCAGGTATCCAGGTATGCTTTTACTGCACTGATAGTGTGTTTTTAAAGGTGCGCTGAAAATACAGGCTGCTGCCAATCGGATCCTTTTCAGATGATATTGGTATTAAAATCTGATGTTACATTTTGGGGTCAAAATTTCATCGGTTTTGACAATTACTGCGACAATGAAGCTTAAACTGTCACACAGTGTGTTTTACAGATGGCTGCAGAAGGAAAAGAGTTACATTTGGATTCATCAGCCTTGTCACCGCTGATTTTCAGTCCAGCTCTGGTGTCACTGAGACTCCTGCTGATGACGCTTCATAAAACAGTAGCTGGATCAGCTGAAGGTCACATAGAGGCCTGGATTTTTCCCTCTTTCTTAACGTACTAATTTCAGCTAATCACTCTTTGAGAATCACCTCGTTGGTGGAAAAATATGATTCTGTCTGTCAAACCGTGTTACCTTTGTGATTTTGCACAGACTTAACTAAAGAAATGGGAACAAATGATGTTTTTGCAATTGGATGCTAGTAAGTGCTTAAAGATACGATTTAAAATCGGATGTTTGCTAAGTTGTCTGTTAAATGTGGACAAAATGCTGGTTAATCCCTTGAGTTGGGTGCATACTTTATGCTTAATGATTCATAGGTCAGTGTTAACTGACTTAAGAAACAAAACAACAATCATCTGCAATGGTCAGGTGACAAAGCAGCCGATGTCCAAAGAAAAACTTTAAAACACCTTCAGGAAGCCTGGAGGATTCCTGACCTCAGTGGCTCAGAACCTTTGACATCACGTTAACTTTTTAAAAAACTGGATCATTTGTCCTCGAACGCTAAAAGCAGCAGTTTTTCCTGCTGTCGTGTAAGCAGGATCCCACTGAAGTCTGAGATTTATGGAAGAAACCATCAGTCACGCTCATGTTTGCCTTTCCTGCACAGTGGGCATGCCCGGGCGTTTACTTAGCTGCATTTAATACACGATAAGGTCATGATTCACCTCAGTGATCAATCTCACTATCTGACTGGCTAAAGGAAAATTCCATTTATTTTTTAACATTAGAGATATCAGGCGCACTAAACGGTCAGCGGGTCAGGGGTCATGGAGGTCCATCACAGAGCACTTCCTGTCTGGTCTGCTGGGATACTTACGGAGCCATAATTATAACAGCTCAGTGCTCCAAATACAGACAAGCATCAGACTGAGAAACACGACTAGAGCAAAGTGTCAAATCATGTTTTCTTTTATAAAACTTGGTGAAGAAAGTCTTAAAAAGTGACCGTATTTTATGGTACAGCTTTAATTCTGGAGCCTGTAAGTCAAGAGGAGGGTTTCCAAAATCATCTGCTACGGAGGATTAACATAACAGCAGAAACAAACGGATGTTTGTGAGACTTTGGCGTCTAGTTGCATCTGTTGTCCTAAAGGTCGTTCTGCAGAAACAACATGGCAGCCAGTCTGTACATTCAGAGGTATTTCATTTTAATAGCTTAGAGATAGAAAACCATTGACTATAACCGTCCAACCGTCTCAGGGTTTGACCCCAGAGCTTCAGTTATTCTTGTCGTTTCAGTTTCAGAGTGACTGAGAGAGTCTGGACTGAGTAGAAAGAACCCAGAGCAACTGGAGGCAGCAGAAACCCTGAGAGAAACGCAGTGTGCAGCACTAAACACTGGGACGAAAAGAAAAAAGCCTCATTGCTTTATCTGCAGCGCTTTATATTTGGCAGTATGAGTCTGGTCTGGGAGCTACAGCATCAGTGACAGGATCTGGGTTTGGCGGGGGGTTGCAAAGCAGCTTGCACCGGCTGCCAGCACAGCCGGTTTGTAACATGACCCGGTGCACGTAGATCAGTGTGTTATTGGCCTACATGATGATTTTAGTTTCCGTCACAATCACACAAGCCTTCTCTTGTCTCGCGATATGCAACAAAATAAGTAGTAACTATTTGTGTCATCATTTCGTAGTTTAATTTTTACCAACTAATTCAGATTTGTGTCTTCAGTCATATACTTTCATCTTTTATTTAGATAATCAATCACAATCATTGTAGATCTTTGTGACATGTTGAGTTTCATTCATGCTGACTCTTGTGATTGAAACACAACATTTATGCCACTGAAGAAAAAACAAAACCTTTGGACAACCAGATGTCTTGGTGGGTAAACGAAACCCGGGCTGACTGTTGTTATTATCAGGGGTTAAAGGTGGCAGTTTGGAAACTACCAGAGCTGGTGTAACAGTTTTCTTTGCTGCTGCTCTGAATTTCAGCCAGTACCTAATCATAGCTGCTTTCCAAACCTCGCCAGGATAAACCAGAGTGAGTGAAATGAAGGCACAATAAGGTGTGTTGGTCAATGCAGCTCTGAGTGACCAGAAGTGATTAAGGGTGATCATTTCTATCTCAGAGTTTCTGTTAAAACTGGACGGCTCATCTCCCATCACATCTGAAAACTGATATTTTACTGACAAGAGTGACTGAAGCTGCGCTGACACACACGAGGAGTCGATTGTCTCATGAAATCCATCGGAAAAATTCTGAAAAAAACCCAAATGTTCAAACCCTGAATGTCCCAGCTCGCAAACAAGAGAATAAAAAAGCGGTGAGGTTCGTCTCAGCAGGATGGAGGGCAGAAGAAGTGGTCACAGTTCACAGGCTGAAAGTTTCCCTGGACAAAGACATGGAGGAATGTTCGGTCCTCACTTCACAGTGCCCTCAAGCAAGGCACTTCTACAGCAGGCGCTTGTTCCAGTGGAGCTGCTTCGCAGCCAGAAGCAGCCCTCAGTTCAGTGTGTGAGTGGATGAAAACAAAAGCAAAGTCTTCCCTGGACAAATGACAACAACAAACTAAAAATAAAAGGCAAAAAACCAAAAAAACCAGAGTTCGTTTTCTGTCTCCGCCTCCTGATTTGAAACAGCAGATATTTCACACTTTTAAATAACATTAAACATTATGGCTATGATGAAAATTTACATTCTGACATTTAGATAGGACTACCGTAAAAATACAAATGTGCAAAAGTTGTAAACAAATCAGATGGTATGTGTGTGGTTTGTCACAGCCTGGTGGGCTCCTCGTCACTGTCGCTGCAGTTACCACAGCAGTCCTGCAGGGGGAGGAAGAGAGCACCGATGTTACTGTCATTCACAGATGAATGCAGATCATTTTTCTATCGACTAAATTTCATTCATGTATTTGTATTGTATGTATTTACTGGTCTTTTTTGTTTTTTACCATCTTCCTGTTTTACCATATTAACTCCGCCTTACTGACGTCTGTCTGTGGAGTTAGCTTACACTACACAGTTTAGTGTACTTTGTGCTAGCTCACAGCTCGCGTGTGTTGATGTATGCTGGTAAATAAAAGAGCGGTGATGTTCTGGAGGTGAGGGAGGTTGCTCACATTTCTGCCGAACAGTCGCTGCAGGAGTCCCTGTTTGGGTGTCGGAGACGGCTGTCCTCTCCAGTCCAGGTCAGGAGGAACCGCCCCGTCCTGGTAGAAAACGTTGAGCTCTGTGAAACACTCTGTCTCGATCATCTGCCGAGAAAAACACAAAAATCTCAGAACCTGTGCAAAAACACGGGGCAGTTAGGAGTTTGTTCTTTTTACCACTAACATGGTCAAAAGGCTCGACTTGTTCTGGACAGCAGCCGTTAGTGAAGCAGGTGGCGACAGATCTGGCAGGTTTGACATGGCATGAAAAAGGGATGAAGGTGGGTTGCAAAGCAGCCTGGACTGACTTTACGGCCTCCCTGATTAAAGCTGTGCTTGATTTCTGTAACATGTTTTACATTTAAGACTGTTTTTCGAAAGAACAAATATAATGCTTGGTTACTCGTGTAACCACGGTTCTCTGGAAATTGAGCACTGCATCTAATTACTGGGGGAGTGTGAACCATCCTGTAACTTCCTGTCTTTGCAAGAACTCGTGTGCTGGTGCTTTTGGCTTGTTGAATGTACTTTCCTGTACTTAAAAAAAATGTAATCTTATATCAATTATAATTTAATTAGTCCCATCTTCAGTCTTTTGAGTCCCTTTTTATGTTTTGTTCTATCTGTTATTTATTTTTTAAACTGAAATCTGCTCTAAAGGTCAGGCGACTTTTCCTAACAGTCACCATGTTCTCGGGTGAACAGTGTGTGAGGACAAAGCGAGGACTGTGTTTTTCCAATTAGGTATTTTTATCCTCCTCCTACTGAGATGGAGCAGCAGCAGCAGCATGTTTAACATTTTCTCACTGCTGTTAGTCATAAATGTCAAAACCTCTAAAAATCATGATGCTGGTGGTAACATCATCAGGAGAACAAATTCCTTTTCCTGCATTTTTTACAGCAGGAGTGTGCCGAGTGTGAGTCTCTAACCTCGTTTTGCCAGGGAATGGAAACGCTGCCCGTGGACACTTTACTGTAGAAAGACTCGTCCTTGGGCTCCAGCTCCACTCCTTTAACTGTGGAGAACTGCTCGATGTCCAACACGTCTTTACAGTAGATGGCCTGAGGCTGAAACACACAAACACACACAGCCGATAAGGTCGTCAGTCTCAGCAGAGACAAGTCCAAACATCTCCAGTTATCTGACCCCACGTTGGCTTCCTGCCTTTGCCATCGTTTCCACGTGCATCACCCCGAGTCTTCGCCCTCCCCTCGTCAGCTTACCTCCAGCACAAGCCTGCGTTTACCTTTTCAGTCTTCTTTGGCTTTTATTGGGAAGCTCCTGCTTCACCCTGACAGCGCCTTCAGTCTTTTGAGTTCCTTTTTATGTTTTGCAACCTGCCAGTTTGCCTCGTCGGTGGCCTCTTTTGGAGGCACACCTGAAGGGGAAAAACACCTTGAAACCAAACTCTGCGTCTCTTTGATTAGATGTAAGCTCGCTCTGTACCCGCCCAACACGAAACCTGCTGTATGGATCCTTCCTGTTACAGACGCTGTGCAGCAGCTTCACAGAAATCACGCCAGGGCCTCGGAGACGCACTCACTCACGGTGCTGTGGAGTGCTCTCATTGTGCAGCCTCTCACTCAGAGTTATTATTAGATACTTGGCTCTCGCATTATCGGCGAACGCACAAAATCAGCGAGGTCGTCCCACCTGACCCCTCAGAATCAGCTCCATTAATAGAGCCAGTATCTGACATCACACGCTGGAGGTTTTCTAAGCTTTGGTCCTCAGAGCAGGCAGAGTGGGTCGAACATTTGGTGCTTTTTAAGTCACTTAATCCATTTTTACATCTACATGAAAACTGCCTATGAAGCTATGAGGGTTCAAAAATGCAGAATAAAAAAATAACTGAATCTTCTCTTTTAAGCGGCTTCCTTTAGAGGTCACCACCGAGGATCATCTGCCTCCATTTCATCCTCCTCAGTCACGCCGAGCATCTGCGGTTCCTCCTTTCTTTCATAAAAAATGCATCAGCTGATTCTGAGGGTCGGATCAGGATCCGGTTGATCTTTTATGCCAGATGTGTCCAACTCCAGGCCTCGAGGGCCGGTGTCCTGCAGGTTTTAGATCTCACCCTGGGTCAACACACCTGAGTCACATGATTGGTTCATTACCAGGCGTCTGGAGAACTTGTTGAGGAGGTGATTCAGCCATTTGAATCAGATCAAGTAACGACACAGAAAACCTCAAAACCATCCAGACTTAAGTGATTAAATTGATTTTATTACTTAAGTTAGTGCAGCCTGGCTTTAAGACGGACCTTTGTCTTTGTTTGGATCGGTGACGTGATTGGAGGCTTTTTGCTGCTTGAATAAAGTGAGCGTGGCTCACGCCGGACTAAGGCTACGTTCACTCTGCAGGTCTTGATGCTCAAATCCGATTGTTTTGTCTGCTCGTTCACACTACAAATAAAATGCGACAGCAAACGCGCTCTAGTGTGAACGCTCAAAGCGGCGCATGCGCAGAAGAAGACGTCACACACAACGCGCTCAGTTTAGACCCAGAGCAGCAGTATGTTTGACTGATGGCCTTAATATAAAGACTTCGGACTTTACGTTTCCCAATTTTTGCTTTAAGTTTTGTTATTTTCATAACAATATAGATAACCTAATAATGATCCTTATTGCTGTTGTAGAGGAGCGGTGCTTCAAAGGATAGCTGCAGATTTCTGTCAGAATCTGCAGATTATACAGTACAAATGAAATGTTCACGTTTCTCCAACGTTGTCTTTCCAACAGTTTCACTGACATCTACGCTGGATGGCCAGGAAGCGTTCGCGATGTCTTCTCCGGCGCTGATAATTGGCGTCTGTCTTGTGTCGGTGACGTAAAAGACGGATTTAATGCGACCATCAAACAGCAGTCGCTTTCTAAAACATCGGATATGTATCGGATTCAGGACCACATACGAAAGTGACCCAGATCAGATTTGAAAATATCGATTTGTGCCGTTCACCCTGTCAGACCATGATCGGATAGATGGGTCGCACAGGGTCAAAAAAATCGGATTTGATGCGCTTTCGCCTGCAGTGTGAACGCAGCCTTAGTCTGTGATGTTGGCTGATGATGCACAGACAGCTCTGATAGTTTTAACGGCAGAATCACAGAATCATCGCTGATCCCAGCGAGCCACATGACGTGACCCCAGAGATGTTACTGAGTTTGGTATTTTTGTGATATTTAATGTTTTGTTTCTTCTTGTGTATTTAGTCTCACGGGTGGAATTAAATGTTTATTTTGCACTAACTCACAAGAATCACAAGTCCTCCTATAACAGTTTTATGTTTTTATAGATTTTTAATCACCATCTGTGGAGTAGGTGGCGCTTGAGTCATGTGATGTATGAAACACCTTTTGATTGGTTAGACGCTGTCGAGTCTAGTTTTTACATTTTCTTGCCCCTCCCCCTCGTCTTCACCTGTCGCTGACTGCTGTCAGCTGCTGTGTGCTTTGCTCCCTCATGCGCCTCGTTGTGTCATCACTGCCTCGTCTATAAATAGTCTTGTTTGTTAAGACTTCTGTTTATGATCCCTGATTTGCTCGCTGCGTCCTTCCTGGTTTCTCGTGTTTATTTTTGGATTTCAGGGTTTTTTTCCAACCTTTGAACTTTGTGACTTTGTACTTTTGAACCTTCCAAAATAAAGGCAAACACTGTACGCACTGACAGATACAGATCTCATCATTTGTCTTCACTCGGGGAAACAAAAATGAATGTGTGACGGATGAAGAGTCTCAGACTTCATCTCGGGTCACCAACAAACCTGTTTTCAGGCTCGTACCTGAACGTCAAGTCACAAACTTGTCAACGACTCTTCAGAAGCCGAGTTTTGAGTTTCGAGTATCTACATGATAAAAATGAAAATCTTTTTAAGGTCGGTGTGCTCGCTCTGGACTTACATCAGGGATGAAGGGTGTCTGCAGCATGCCGGCCTCCAGCCGTTTGAAGTTGATGGAGCGGAAGATGGGATGAGCTTTGACCTCAGTGGCTCCGCCCCCTAGGCAGCCCAGCCTCTCGGTGGGATCTTTGGCCAGCAGCTGAGGGGTTAAAAACACAGCAGAGCTTTAGAGAAGGTGGAGAGTTGCTGCTTCAGGTCAGGCGTTAAAGCATCAGCGGTTACGCCTCAGACAAAAGTTGAGCCGGGTTTCATTTTCCACCAGTTTTACAGAGTTTTAGCAGGAAGCTGTGTGTTTGTATTCAAAGCATGACGTGTCTGCGAAAAGCAGCCAAAGGCAAAGAGTTCTGGATGTTTGCTACCCTCTTTATTAAAACGAAGCAGACACAGTGCCAGTGACCAGCTTTGCTTGTCTGGCCTCCACAGTCTCACGCATCGTGAGTCTGATCTTCAGGAGGAAGTTCCCTCGTCTAAAGCTTGTTTTCCTAAGCATGGAACAGGTTTTCCTGAAACCCTGCAGTGAGATGACAATAATTTCCCATCTTTGAGCCGTGTGCACTCGCCCTCCAGGTGTCCAATTATGAGTCAGGATAAACTCCGACTACAGGTGAACCACAGATCTCACCTTAATCAACCTCCCACCTGACTTTCATTTAAAAAAAGATGCAGGTGGAGATCTGACCAATGACCAAAAACAAACTGCAGTATTTCCTGTTGGGAGGTTATTCCGTCTTCTGTTTGTTAGCAGACTCAGCAAACATGGCTGAACCGCAGACGGACGACTCGCCGCGAAGACGGCAAACGCACACGTCTGCGTCGTGTCCCTGGACGTTTCTCTGCGTGAGAATTCGGTCATTTGTTTCGTCCATTCACCAAAATCTGGGACGATGTTTATAACGAGGTTTGTGATTTGGCCCTCGACCATGACGTGGTGCAGCGTTTTAAAATGTTTGCCTTTCACGCCAAAGAAGGCTGGATTCTGGGGGGAGACACACCCCCAGCCTCGTGGAGTTATGAGCTGACGTTGTCTTATGTTCGGTTCTGAGTCTGGATGAATGTATCTGGGTACAGCTGATCTGGATCCACACGTCCTCCTGGATCCAGGAATATTGGACGATTACGAATAATCGCGGGGAGCAGGGAGATCTCGCCGCAACGTTTCAGCCACTCTGAAAAGCTGAGTCTAAAAACCGGAGTACGAAAACATCAGTCAGCTAATGGCGTGACTGAGGTGGCAGATGGGAGCTAAAGACGCCGAAGAGAAAGAAGCTGATTTGGCTGCTCGCCGGCGCATCCACCCACCATTTTACAGAGGGACTTGGCGTCCTCGGAGAACTTGCTGGAATATTCCTCCTCCACCTCCCTCACCAGCCGCTCCACTTCCTCCCTCTTGATCTTCTTCTTCCTCTGCTGGAAAGGCGACTGGCCCTCGATCATCTCGTACAGCAGGCAGCCCAGCGCCCACCAGTCAGGGCTGAAGGTGTACCGCTCGTTTTTCACCACCTCTGGAGCTGGAGGGGAGCGAGGAGGCGGTGGGAGAGAAATTAGAAATCTGGATCGTAAGGTGGATGTTTGTACTACAGTAAAAGTACAATTACCACTTTGTAAAAGTCCTGAACTAGATAAACTGAGTACAAATACACGGGAATAACCAAATGTTTCCCAACACTCGAGTGTTAAGTGTAAAAGCTTTGTTACTGTGAAACGTCTCAGTGTTAAATTAAAGTTGGTAAAAACATTTAACGTTCCTTTGAAATGTGTTTGATGTGAAAGCACTTCATACTCTAGTGCAGTGCTCACATAAATGTACTTGCTCAGTAAAGGTCAGAGGTCACTTACACATGTATCCCACTGTTCCCACTCGTCCTTTGATGGTTTCTCCCTCTGGCACATGAACCGCTAGACCCAGGTCTGATATCCTGATGTGACCTGAAGACACAAACGTTAGCACACATGAGGATAATCGGCTAATTAAAGATTTACTCCGTCTACCCATCTGCTCAAAGCTCCCTCCTGTGATCCACTCGCTCTACACAGGCCCCTGTTTCTGACTTCTTGAGACTTTCAGTCGCTGGTGATTCAACTGTAGACAGTTTTGTAGGCCTGCCGCTTCTTTTTTCCTCCACTTGTCCAGCATATCTCAGTATATGTTAGCATGCTGAGATCAGTTTTCAGCTAACAGCTCTATGAAAAGCGCCTTGCTGCAAAATGGCATTAAATACCTTCCAGACTGTCATTTTTATTGCTTTATCTAAATAAATGGAAACAAATTATGTTTTTGTGTTAGTAACAAACTGCGAGTTCTTTACAAACGTGTCTGTTATGTGGACACAACACTGGTTCATCCTTTGAGCTCTTTTTAAGATCGAATTATTGAAAAGTCAGAGTTAAAGTGGTCCAGGTCTGAGCGACTCTCAGCGAGCTGGAGAACTATTGTTTAAGAAACTTTGAAAGTGACAACAGAGTCTGGCTCACTGTAAAGAAAGGAGGGGTGGCTCAGGACTGTGTTTAGAAATCATTCCCATTGAAGGCTCAGATTCAGGGAACAAACCATCAATCATCAAGTTTTTGCAAACGGAGAATCTCAGATTTAGACTTTCATGGCGTTTGTCTTTAGCTTCAGTCACTCTGTTAGTGATGTCAGCAGAGACTGGCGCTGGCTGAGGCGAGTTTCCTGGAGTCAGAGCGCCCTCTGGTGTTTAACAGCAAACACTGAAACTGCAAAAGTGAATCTTGGAGTGGAAGCGGAGCTGCGTTAACCATAAATGCTTTTTAATCTGTATTTGAGTCAGATAAATATGACTTGCTGCTTCCCAGAGATCTTTAACAAGGCCTCATTTTCACCCTCCTCCTCCCCACCTGCCATATTTTTATTTTTCCAAACACTGACTGGAATTACTGCAAAAGTTCATCGTGCAATGTTACTGAAAGACGTGCAGAATTAAAGATTTGATGATGTTTGTGGTGGCGATATCTCCTCCTCGGTAATCGGACTCACCGTGGTCGTCCAGCAGGATGTTTTCTGGCTTTAGGTCCCTACGCAGAAGATAAAGACACGGAGAGTGAGCAGAAAGGCAGGAGCCAATGAGACGAGAGGAAGGTGTCCGGGTGCTCACCTGTAGACGATCCGCTCCCGGTGGAGGTCCTCCAGGCCGCAGCAGATCTCCGCGGTGTAGAAGATGGCTCTCTTCTCATCGAAACCCGCGTCACCCATGTGATAGATGTGAAACTTTAAATCGCCGCCGTTCATGAGAGTCAGCACGAGGCACAGGGCGTCCTTGGTCTCGTAGGCGTACGCTAAACTCACCTGGAGATGGACAGGAGTCGTGTGTTTAAGCATTTGGAGCTGGGAGTGATTCATGGACTCTTCTAGGGCGGCTTTGCATGATTCACACAACTTTCAGCCGTTTGTGACTAAATCGACGAGCTGATCTGAGAGCTGCTCTACAGCCCTGAGGTTGTTAAGCAGTATGCTGCAGCTGCTTACACACACACTGCCAACATGCTCACCGAGGCTCCGGCTCTTCATACACACATGTGGATGTTAATATGTGGAATCTGTAGGCAGCCAATAAGATCTCTGACACTGAGAGGTCGACTGACTGATGCAGGGGAAATGCTGCGGCTGGTTTTCATTTAGGATTTAAACGTATTTGCAACGAGGACGTTGAATTGCATCAAAATTGTGCGCACTGTCTTCAGATGCCGTGCTGCAGATAATCTGAGTTTGTCGGCGCCGTCGACTGTTTTCTTTTGAAAACTGTAATCCTTTCAAGTTTAGGAAGTTCAGCATGTTCTGTTCTGCACACATAAACACAAAAACCTCGTGCCAAAGATTTCCAAACTGATTAAGATGTGTTAATTAAAGCCGTCTGTGAGTTTTCGCATTAAACCCCGGGAGACGGTGTAGGCCCGAGAGCCCGGACGAGCCGACTGACGGCCGTCCAAATCAAATAACAGCTGAACGAAGTCCATCTGGTGGAGAATCAAACCACAGCAGAGACGCTGCAAACCTCAGCGCTGCCTTTTAATTACTGCCACCGCGACGATCCCTCGAGCTGAAGCTGAGATGAGATACTTACTACAAATCTGCTGTTGACTTTCTCCAGGATCTGCTTCTCGTTGAGGGCCATAGACTCTCCTTTCCTCTTCTTTATCCTCTTCTTCTCCAGCTTCTTGCAGGCGTACATTTTCCCCGTGGCTCGTACCTGACAGGCACACACCTGCAGAGGATGGGGTGGAAGAAAAAGGACACGTTAGGATCCCTGAAAATATCATCATTTAAAAAAGAAAAATTAAAACCAACAAAACTATGGAAGCCTGTTTCCACCACACACAAAAAAGTATCTATAACTCGAAATTTCGAGTTATTTTCTCAAAATTTCAACTTATTAACTCAAAATTTTGAGAAAATAACTTGAAATTTTGAGTTATGGATACATTTTTTTTTTAGTGGTGGAAACGGGCTTCATTACAAAACCTCGCTGGAAACTGACTGAAAAAATCATGAAAACTAAAAAAAATATCAAACTATTAACTGCAGCAAATGAGGAGGAAACGAGTTCACGTTGGATTCTATCACATAAACACACAGTTAAAGGAAACTTAATGTTTCAGCTGTAGTGACTTTTGTGAGGCAGCAGCAGTGTTAAGGTAAAGAAACAACTCACTACTGACAGGCTGAGAAACACAAGCTGTGGTAAAACAACCACATTTAAGCTTTTTCTTTTTGACACTGCAAATACAATTATGTTGTATTTGTTACAGTGACAATACACACATGATGGTTATCTTATCCAACATCATTCAGAGTGAAACTGTTCGCCGCAGAAGGACCGAAACAAACCCTGGGTTTTGTTCTGATTTTGCCAAACTGTACCAGAGGAATGGATTTAAATCAGACATGCTTCATGGAGCTTGGACGCGGATCAAACATTGTTTTTCTTTCTGGAGAATGCGCGGAGGGTTGTGGGATCTTTGCGGTTTGTTGCTTCATTGTCTGCTCCGCTTGTCCCTTTTATTAACTTGTACAAACTTCAGAGGAGAGCATCCAGCTGTGTTCAGTGCAGTGTCCTCCTCCTTCTGGTAGTATCAGTGCTCAGATCATCCTCTGAGCCTGGAGGTAAGATTTGCATGGTTTCATTAAATATACTGAAGTTACTGTACAAAAGCAATCAGCTGACTCTGAGGGGGTCAGATGGGAGGCACTGAACGACCCCAGAGCCCCTCATGCAGGTCAAAGAAGGTCAGAAAATGTTAGCACTCCGAATTGCCGTTGTGTATCACTTAAAGGTGTCCCCTGTTTTCTCCTCACCACGACCTTCCTTGTGGTTCCAGTAAATTCGACTCACCGTGATCTGAACCGACAAAACTGACCCTGACTTAATGTCCCCTGTTATCTCATGACCTGATGCGTATACGCCTAATCAGCTATCAGTGTTTGGAATTAAAAAAGACTCGTCTCATTAGACGAACAGAGGGCACAGAGACACCATTCAGTGGTGTGTAACAGGATTTAGATGCCTCCGATAAAGTCCTTCATTTCAGGGGCCAAAGAAAAGATTGAATTAGGAACACTGAACTCTTCTGCACGATTAGACCGTTTAAAGGTTTTAATGCATTTGTTTTAGTCTGACCTCAGTGAACAGCACCCATTTCTCTGAATCTAAATGACTGGAACGTAACTGACAATTTTTCCTTCTGCCCTGTGTTTCTTTGGCCAGTGTTAGGGCCCACAAACTCATCTACAGCCTCTGATTTCTTAACGCTTGAGATTAAATCCAATAAAAACATGTCTTAAAGTCTAGAACTTTCTGACTTACCAATGCATAGCTTTTCATTCAAATCTTCACTGACCTCAAATGAGGGCAGAGCCTCTGAACTTTTAACTCTTGTAACTTTACCTGTATATACTGTAGCTGCCCAAGAAAGATTGTTTTAATGACATTATGGCAACATAACACATTATAATTAAAGGAACAAAAACCTTCAGTACTCACCTCTCCAAAACCACCTTTTCCTAAAACTCTGTACTGTCTGAATGTATTTTTCGTCACTGGTTGCCTGTTTGACAAAGAGAGAAACTCACTTTAATAAACGTCCAGTTTAAAAACCAATGTACACGTGTTTAGAAATGAAATGACATGAAAAAAGGATGTTTAGGAAAGCTATAATGATGATATAGCTGAACCAGTTTAAAACCAGTTTAAAACTTGAAAGAAAAGCAGTGTTAAGTCTGCTCATTTTCCCTTTGTTTGTTTGTTTGTCTCCAATCAAGAAAAACAAAGAATTGCAAACAAATTTTAACTTCAGACACATACGAGCCGTATACATGTTACACGAAAAACAGCCACGTTTCTTTTATTACTTTATTTTTTTATTTGTCAAGAGATAAAATTAGAGAGATAGCCAGCTAACTGCTACTATGGTTGTCAAACAGTTTGTAGGCTACTATTAGCATATCGGCTATCATTAGTTAAAAGAAACCCAGTTTTATCTATTAGAGCCTCGCTAGCCTGTTAGGAAATTGACTATCAGGAGAAAACTGTTTGGTCAGATGTTCAAGTCGTGGAGATTCTTTGTTTGGTTTTATGGACCAATTTTAACTTTTCGTCTTTGTCTGGTCAATGTTGGCTAATGCTAGCATGAGTGCTTATATAGATAAATTGCTAAAATTTCATTTGTTTTCTAATTGGATGTGTCAATAATTTTTTTGTTTGATTTTTTTGTCCTCTTAGTCTCTTTGTCAAAGGTAATGCTAATTAGCTATTAGCTTGACATCAGATGCTAGCTATCAGTTAGCTATATAGTCAGTTTTCCTGGGGAGTAGGGAAAACCACTGATATTTGGTTTTAATCAACCATTGATAACTTGAATTAACAGCTATCATCTAAACTTTGTTAGAAGTGATCAACACTGAGTGTCTACTTAATACATCTGATTTAACAATAATCCATTACTTTGGTTTAATAAAAGTAGCTTAAATAAGGCTACGTTCACACTGCAGGCAAAAGCGCATCAAATCGGACTTTTTTGACCCTATGCGACCCATATCCCATCATGCTATGACATTGTGAACGGCACAAATCCGACCTGGGCCACTTTTATATGTGGTACTGAATCGATACATATCTGTTTTAGAAAGCGACTGCTGTTTGAACGGTCAAGTCGCATTAAATCCGTCTTTTACGTCACTGACACAGGACAGACGCCAATTATCAGTGCCCGAGAAGACATCGTGAACACTTCCTGGCCATCCAGTGAAACTGTTTAGAAGAAAACGTTGGAGAAACGTGAACATTTCATTTGTACTGTATAATCTGCAGATTCTGACAGAAATCTGCAGCTATCCTTTGAAGCAGCGCTCCTCTAAAACAGCAATAATGATAATTATTAGGCCAAATGTAAATAACAAAATATCTTTATAACTTAAAGCAAAATTGTGAAACGTAAAGTCAGAAACAAGTCTTTATATTAAGGCCATCAGTCAAACAATACTGTTGGTCTGGGTCTAAACAGAGCGCGTTGTGTGTGACGTCTTCTTTTGCGCATGCGGCCGCTTTGAGCGTTCACACTAGAGTGCGTTTGCTGTCGCATTTGTAGTGTGAACGAGCAGACAAAAAAAATCGGATTTGATCAAAAAATCGGATGTGAGCATTAAGACCTGCAGAGTGAACGTAGCCTAAGTGTCTTGTTTTGATCTTCAGGTGACCGTTACTTTAATAATGACTTATTGTGTGAAAACTATAAGATACCAGCAGCTCTGCATGCCACCTGTTTGAACAATGCAGTGGTTTGAAATACAGTTTTTCTGTTGACAGACAGTCGTTGGTAAATGGATTGCAGAGAACTGCACACTGTAATAAACACCAGCACTACTGATCTGGACCCTCCTGGGATCAACACTCTCATCTCATCAGCCCTTTTGGGCATTTTGGTCATCCAACCGGGTAATTTAAATGGACCCTGGGGCACAGGCTCATTAAACCTGATGACTCATTTACTGCTTAATGAGCCATGGGATGAAAATTCTCCTATTTCTTTTTTCACATTTGCATTTTTTAATAATTGGCATTGGTTTTGTATATTTGCATTAAGCACATGTGACATCCTTCG